ATTTAGAATTTTGAAACCCTTGAAAATTTTCACAGGTTATTCATGGCTAATCGCGTTGCGATTAAGAATTTGAAATTTTGTGTGTGAGCACATTGGGTGGTATAATCGAATATGAAAAAGGCAAAGTATTAAGATCGATTCGCTTTTATTTTCCAATTGTAACTCCACTTTTATTTAAGCAAATGAATTGATTTAGTAAATAAAGATAGACAATTGTAGCTAAGCTCATTGCCGAATGCTCTTCTAAATATTTTATACTACGACCTCATCAACGTTATGGAGAGAAAATTTAAGCCAATATATACTTCGATAATAGTATTATGTATTTTTATTTACAAACACTAAAGAACACATTTCCTTTACTATACGTAATGCGCTTGTTTATCAGATATTAGCAAAATGTCTCCAAACAATATTTATGCAGTTATTTTTTATTACCATATAAGTGAATTATGGTTGGATAAGTGGGGTGTGTGATAAACATACCTCCACGTGGTGCACTCTGGGCAACGTATACTCATACGGCAAAAGTCTATTAACTGGCAGTTGACTACTGACTTCAAACTGTATGAAATATTCGACCCCTTCCACAGTACTCATCTTTCCTTTTCTCTGCCTTTTTGTCTGTCTGCCTTTGTTACACCCGTGAATCATTATTCTGTCCCCCCTCTCAACTTTTTGCCACCTTGATGTTCCTCCACCCCTCTATGAATCCCGAAGTCAACTATAGGTCTAATTATAACCAACAAAACGCCTGCCATTTGAAATAAATGGTTGGATAATTAAATAGAATGTGGTATAGATCGAGCGCTTTTCGTATCGTTGGAATATTTTAAATGCATACTCAAACGTTTCCTATAAAATGTAAATAAAAATATAATTAACCCATATTATGCCAATGTATGGCCTCATTAATAAATTCTCAAAATATAATAAAACACTCATTGTTTGTTTAAGAATATCGTGCCTGCTTTCACTCGATGACTGGTCCCCTTTGAAATTAAATCCTGTGAGATATCTAAATTTTCTTGACATGTTTCAGATCGTTATGCATGTATATCTGTTGGGGAGAGTAGCACTACAAGAACAGTGAGAGTTTCAAAGGATGTCGGATATTAGATAGCTTATTATCGTATAGACAGTTTAAGAATAAGTTAATTTTAAATTTTTTTAAAATGATCGACATCTTGTCATTACCCACCCACCCCCTCTTTCCCGGACATTTGTTATGCGCCCACAATTTTTAGGACTCTAAAGCCAAGCGAGGTCACATTTGTTCAGGTAAGAGAGCGTTGGCACCGTTTTCGGTTCTGAAGATACAGCTGCGAACTGAGAAATGAGATATTTTATACCCGACAATGAGACTGACGTCATGATGAGACAAAGATCAATATCTAAAGTGAAAAAAGCGAACCACTGAATTAAAAAAAAATATTTCGCATAAAATCGGTTGGTCGTATGTATCATAAATTATTTAATAATGCTTAGTCAAAATCTCATCATGATAAGAAGCATAATTATATTACATAACGGGCTTTTGAGATTTTATTTCTTAATTTTTGGTTCATCGATACTTTAACTATCTAAACGGTAAAAAGTGTACTCTATATATTATGTAAAATCCCATAAATTGAGCATTTATTCGTTATATCAATCGAGCGTTTGTCAGTATTTTCGAAACAGCGTTGCAAAGTGAGGTAAAAATTTCATAACTAGAAACAACAGAAACAATATGTAATCTAAATAGTATACTAAGTTACAACTTACTCAATCTCTAGAAAAAGGAAGAAAAAATAATTTCACTCCAAACCACGGTATACAAGTGGGAAAATAATTGAACCTCGGCAGTCTATGAAGTGGAGTATAATTCTGACTGACACATTAATCAATACAGAAAGGAATTAATTCCATACTTGTGTTCGTTACTATCAACTTCTGTTCGTTGAAATTCAGAGCTCGATAGTTTAGCCAATATACTACAAACATAGTTAAATATATTGATACAATGTTTCCTATTATTTTATAAGTATTAAAATTGTCAAACAAATTTGGTTAAAACCTGTCAAGCAAAATTTTAACATTATTTACTTATTTCATTATTTTAATTAGGATATGACAATATGAATAAATATTATGAGTTTTAAAATTTAGTTGTGCTTTCTAAGTTGTTTAAGTCAACGAATTAGTGACATAAGTTGGCGGCTAAAAGTTGCTTTCGATTCCGGCCCTTGCACGTTTAGAGGTTGGTTTTTACCTTACCCTATCCGGTTTTTTGGTTTTGTTAGTACAATATTCTCCCTTTTAGATGTATCCTATTCTTCCAATTGTCAAATCTCTTGCCATGGCTTCTCGCCCCGCTGCTTCACGTCTTGTGATCAGCAATTTGCCAAAGTTGAGTCCTATTGCCTCAATGGAGATTGTTAACAAGAACCTCCATACGTCCATCGCCCATCGTGATATTGATCAGGCCGCAAAATACATCGGTGCTGGTGCTGCTACCATCGGTGTCGCCGGGTCAGGTGCTGGGATTGGTTCTGTCTTTGGTAACCTCGTTATGGGCTATGCTCGTAATCCTGGACTTAAGCAACAGCTCTTTTCCTATGCCATTCTTGGTTTTGCCTTGAGTGAAGCTATGGGTCTCTTCTGCCTTATGATGGCTTTCCTGATCCTCTACGCTTTTTAAGCAAATCCCCGTGTAGTAGTCGATTACTATAATGTAAACTATGAATATAGTCTTATCTCATTAGTTCTTGCATTTTGATGCATCCTCTCGAAAAATGCATTTTCTACTTTTCCGGCTGTCTAATCGATGCTACATTTGGGTTCGTGGTTAGAATGGGCATTGTAGTGATAGCTGTCTCTCGTTTATGAAGCTATACTTTCTTCGTAGTTTGGATTCCGTAATAATACTTGTTTGGTTTACCCACTTTAGGTTTTGGTGTAATGCTCTAGTTTAGCCACTTAGGCGCTTTCTAGCTCCTTATAAAATTTTGCTCCTCATTTTGTGATGTTCAGTTCATATGCTATGTTTAGGAGCAGTAAGCTGCGGCACTAGCATCTTATTTTGATTGTGGTCCTAGAAAATTCAGCTTTAACTGCCTGACCTTATAATTTGTGATAATAAGAGGTCCTTAAGTAAGCTATTTAGATGAGAATTTGTTTTAATTCGAGGGATTTGAACTACTAGCAGATAAAGCACTTAAATATACTTTCGCTTTGCTAATTTTAAGTGTCACTATGGTTAGCCTCTTTGTGGTATGGCAGTCATATGCGCGAACTACTTGTCACTGCTCTGCGCTTTCCTGGTTTTGGAAGAAGCAGCAAGTCAAAGCGCGTTTTAATAGCGTCGAGTTAGGTAAGATTTCTTACTGGAAATTTGATGACCTATATCGCAATGGAATGGCGCGTCAGAAATGGTTCTTTATTTGTTGCCACTCAAAGAGTTTTCTGGAAATTTCCTAAAAATTGGTTTATATATTTCGGTTTATATTTGAAACCTTATAATTCTGATTATTGCCCTCAGCTGTACTTTCATTGATTGACCTGTTTGGGTTGATGAGACTTCTTCCTGAAGTATCGATTTTTGATCTTTGAATAACTAGGAGTGAAGATAATTGCTTATCCGAACTGAATTAAGCCACTTCAGAACCGAAGAGCTGTTTCAATTGACCGTTAAATATAAAATTTAGACGGCTTTCCTATGTTTCTGCTCAGTATGAATGTATTTACTTCCTTCCTCTCTTGTGACAATGGTGTTAGCAAAGCTGGGTAAAGCAATAGCTCAGCTAAAGACAATTCCTTCCTTAGTAAATTCTTATAAGTGGAAGCATTATTAGGATCGAGGTAGAAGTGCAACTCTAAATTCATACCCGCTCTATACTATATACACTTTAGCGAAAGTTTATCAGTAGTTTATCAATTCGTCATGAGAGTAGCATTTGATAGAGCTCAACAGATTGGAGTATTCCCACTCACCTGAACATGCCGTCAAGAATGAGGCTAGTCTTGACGACGTTTTAATTCTGAACATTCAATTTTCGATTATCTCACTTCATAACTGCTTTGTAAGATATGATGACGGTACAATAATGAAATGCATTAATTAAAATCTAGCTTCAGTGAACAGTGGGGTTATCGCTAAACGATTTACATAGTTGCTTAATCCATGGTTGATGGACGATTAAAAGGAAGAGAAATTAGGTTATTCTGGTTTTTCAGGCCCCATCTTCCACTTCTCGTTGCAAAGACATAAGAAGAGGCGGAGGGAGAAAACTGCTGATGAAGACGTAAACTTCTCGAGAGTCACATAGGGGTCAATTCATGGAATTTAGGCTTTAGAACATTAAGACACATTACAGTAAACCAAGATTGAAATAGAAATGAAGTCCAGTTGTTCTGATGTCATTATCTATTTATCAACCTATCAAAAACTTTATTGAAACGTTGTACTAATTTCAGAATTGTCAAAATTTCTTTCATTCGTTTATTATTCTAGGTCAGATAGTAAAGTATTTGGACACCGGTATTTTGCCATAAAAATTCGGGTTGATGGGACCACTTTGTCCCATTCAACAAGCCATTGGAGCTGGTAGAAAATAATCCCCAAGGTATTTGCGAACATTTTATACTACTTTAAAAGGGGTGTGCGATAGACTTACCTCCACGTGGTGCACCCTGGGCAACGTATACTCATACGGCAAAAAAAGTCAATTTACCGGCAGTTGACTCCTCACTTCAAACCAACTTGACCCCACTGTATGTCATATTCGACCCCTTCCACAGTACTCATCTAGCCTTCACTCTGCCTTTGTGTCTGTCTGTCTATTTTACATCTGTGAATCACTCATCTTTTTCCCTGTCGAATTTTTCTCACTTTAATGTTCCTCCCTTCTGTGAAGCCCGAAGTCAACTAAAGGGCTAATGATAACTATTAAAATGCCTGCCATTTGAAATAAATAAATGCTACTTTAAAAACATCAGTAACCATTTTCCCATAAATTTTGGCACATTTTCTTTCAATCAAGAAGAGCATTTAAAAATCTCACTTTCAGCAGCCGCTCCTTTGATTAGTACAAGCTAGCGATGCTATTGGTTCTTTTCGTTGGAAGGCTTCAATCAATTGACTTCTTTGGCACAGGGCGAAAAACCATGAACTTGCTCTCACATTTAAGTAAATTCCCATTTGCACAGGCAAGTTATTTGCCAACTCTTAGCCTATATTAAGGAAGTGTACTTTTGGTCACAAATATTAGGCACCCTTTCTTGGGATAGCCAATTTCCCCCATTCCTACCTTTAACATGCTCAAAGCTGAGAGATTTAGTCTCTGCAAGTGGAGTACCCTTTAGTTTTAATGGCATACATTGATCAATGTAGGAGGCGTTAGGGAAACCGGATATTTCAAATAGATTAACTCTGAAGTGATTAAGCACTGCTAAAAATATGAAATCATTATTCATCATCAATTGTCTTGGTGATGTAAATTTGCCTTTTTAAATTGCTAAATATGTGTCTATTCCCACTGATAATGACCGCATTTACGGGAATTTAGGAAATATTATTTGCATGAATTTCTCTGAATCTTTACCATTAATGGATTTTGACTGACTTATTAAAGGAAAACATGTTTAAATTAAAACCCATCCAGCACCAAAATAGAGACAACAGGCTTCGGGTCATTAAATAAATTGTCTACAAATTTCAGAGCACACTGGAATTCTCGAGAGAACACGCACATGTGAACAGAGCCCAGGCAAAAGTCAAGACTGCATTAAATAATTAAATTAGTATTTTATTAAGAAGAATTTACAGAGAAGAAGAGAAGATCTTAATATTTTCTTTTCCACAATGACCATAATTACCCTGATTAAACAATTCGAATGAAAGACACTTTAACTAGCATTTATGTCATTAAAGATGATTATTTCCAAAATACTCAGTTCAATAAATCCATTTTCCCAAGGACGCAAAATAACACAGGACTGTGAAATCATTGACAGGGAACTTAGGCGCAGAAGTAGTGCCTGTTGGCAAGTTCTTAGCTTAAATGAAGCAATTAATTCAATTCATCATCAACTCATCAGTGCCCCCCCCCCTCCACACATCCTTCATGGAGCAATGAAATATTTTGTTCATAAAATTTAAAATTTTTTTTTAAATTGAGACCATTTTGCACCCCGACCCCCCCCCCCAAACCTACGTCGAATCATAAGTGAAGCATTTCAGTTGCGTTAAAAAATTCCGTACGGCAAAATCGAGAGAACAAACTCTGTCAAAGCACTTTTTAATAACTTTTAAACTATAATATTTCTTTCAATTAATTTTTTTACATAATAAGACCGCATCGATAATTCCTCATCTTCCACCTCCATATAATTACATAAAATCCTCAGGTTTAACAGTCTATATATATATATATATATATATATATATATATATATATATGAAGGAATATTAGCTTGTTCTTTCCTAATATCTCTTAATCTGTCTGGATTTCTTCTATATTTATAGGTCAAATACGGAAAATCCCGAGAAAATAATTCAAAATTGAAATAATGTGCGCAAATTTGATTGTTGAAGAACTGCCAAAACAGATCTTTTATTTATGTGGGAGAAGGAATATATCATCCTAACATAAATCTAGATTTTCTTTAAGATGCAATCCGACGGCACCACGATAAAGCAAAAAAGACGCGCGTTTTCGTATTATTTTATCTTTTCGTATTGGGCGTCATTTAAATTCGTTTAAATAAAGGTAATTCTCACTTATTTAAACGAATTGGAGGGAAATAAAAGAATTTAGTATGTAAGAGATTTCGCCGGAGAATATTATTTTCATAAATTTATCAGGATGGTTTGAAATAATTAAAAGATATTGCTGATTAAACGTGTACAGTTTTAAACAATATTTCTCATAAGGGGTGTGCAATAGACTTACCTCCACGTGGTGCACCCTGGGCAACGTATTCTCATACGGCAAAAAAGTCTATAAACCGGCAGTTGACTTCTGAATTCAAACCACCATCACCCCACTGTAAGTCATATTCGACTACTTCCACAGTACTCACCTCACCTTTCATCTACCTTTGTGTCTGCCACTTTTACAACTGTAAATCACTCTTCTGTTCTCCACCCCTCGACTTTCTATTACTTTGATGATCCTTCCCCTGTGAAGCCCGAAGTCAGCTAAAGGGCTAATGATAACTATCAAAACGCCTGCCATTTGAAATGAATGAATGAATATTTCTCATAAGAGGTGTTCAAACAGTTGTGGAAAGGGGAAATTGACAACCGACATTTAGTGATTCTCAGCGGCAGACAGCATATGAACTGGACAAGTGGATGTATATCTTTGAAGTACACTCTGTGAGACTTTGTAGTTACCCTTTTCGAAATTTTGACTTTCTTTTCAACTTTAATTTAGTTAGAAAAGTGAAATAAATGGAAATATCTCGCCTCTTTTTGGTGAGCAGTCTTAGATTTGGAGTAATTTTATGAAAATTCACACCCATTAGTACTTTTTTTAAAGGCTGGTTGTATCCGAAATAGGAATATTTAAGGTGGCAAAACTAGCGAGCGTACGATTGGTTATCTATGATTCGACAATTAAAATTTATTACTTTATTTATATCGAATTCCAGGCTTCACAGTGGGGAAGGAACATCAAGGTAATAGAAAGTCCAGGG